CCAAGGAAACGGACAGGACAGTGAATGGAACAAAAGCATCTAGCTTCAGCTGCACCTAGAGCATGTGTTAGCCCTTCTGGAGAGCTGCACTCGCAGCAGCTGCAGGGATGTTCTGTGAGTGCTGAAGGAAGCAATCTGACATCGTTCAATTAATCAGCACAGCAAAAAAGAAAACGATAAAGTTCAGACCTGATGTAAACAGCTGAAGCTCATGATAATGGGTTTGCTCCTACGTCAGTGATGTAAATGTCGGATTAGCAAGCAGGTCAGAAAATGGGTGTAATTCTCCTCAGCTTAGTCTCCAGTGTGCCTGTGTAATGTACGAACCATGAGACAATGTTAAGAGAAAGCAGGAAACAACAAAACAACCAACTGAATTAAGTGGACCGAGATTGATATGTTTAAGCTTTCTTAGGCACACTAAATAATAAGAAAATAGTAGGAAATGTTCAGATGTTTTTTTCTTTCAGGAAAATTGCAACAAATAATTATAATAATGTTAACAAGGAAAATTTAAAGCTGCTCAGAAATAAGAGATTGACAAATTAATACCTTCAAGACGTGCTTTCCACGTACCCTTGAAGTATCTTGATCTGTATATAAATCTATCTCATTTTTCAATTGGTGAATATTTCCTTGAGCAGTTAAAACATATATTCACGTCTGACCCAAACTGACTGTTTTTACAGATGTTTAAACAAATCTTATTTGAAATTTCCTGTTTTGATTATCGAGGAAGAGAGATTGCTTCCCAAAATACACATGGGGTTGGAATAACCTTACATTTGCAAATGACTGCTTATGGAAAGAGACAATGTCATTATACCTAAATATGACAGAATTCTGGGTCTGGAAAAGAAGCAAGGACTATTTGCAAAACAGCAAAGCCAAAACATCTGTAGGGAACGCATTCTGGGAGTTATCTTCACACATCAATAACTTGGTTAGGTCAGAAGTTTCCTGGAAGCCGTAATCCCAATGTCAGAAGGTGTTTGATAAGGACTTGGGATGCTGCAGATAAAGCAATGCTCTGAAACAAACATACTTCCACCTATCCCACGCTACCACTGGCAGTGACATAACTCTCCTGCTCAGGGGGTTCTGAACTGACTTACTTTTTAACATGTGAATTATAAAAATGAGTCTGCTATTGCTTTGTTTCCTCTTCTAAACTATTCTATGGAATTCAAGATAAATCCCTTTGCCTGTTTTGTTTTATCAGCTTAGCAGGAAAAAAAAAAAAAGTCTGACCCTACTTTTGAAAGCGAGCTGCACCAATGTCTTCATTCCTATTTGCTGTAAGTCCCAGTTCTTTATTAGTTCATGACTTTATTTAATCTAAAAAAGGAACTCTGTGATTATTTTGTTAATTAAGCATTCAGACACAAATCGTAGGTTATTATATTATTTACGAGCCATAGCTTACATTAACAGCAAGGAACACATCTACCTGTAAGTAAAGCAGCAAAGGGGAGATTCTTCTGGTTTTGTAATTACTGCTCAAACATCTACAGTGTTGTCAGGCTGCAGCCCGAGTCCTTTGTCTGAAAAGAGACACAAAGGCTTGGAGGACACTGTTTGCATGACTGTGAGGTGAACCATCACAGAAGTAAGGGTACATTTCACCAGCTGCATCTCCGAGCGCAGTCAGGATGTTTTTGGAGTGCAGGATTCAGCTCCCTGGCTTAAAGACTTCATGGAATACCTAAGTAATGGGTTAGCAACTCCAGTACCCACAGAAATTTCAGCCAGGAAAAAGAAAAATAAATAAAATCACAATTAGTCAGATTCACCTGAAGCTAATTACATAGACATGATAGAATTGCAAAAAGCATCAGGCTGGAAAACATAAATATTACTTAATAACAGTGACAATCGTACAGGGTTTTGATCTTGCTTACAGAGAATGATTCAAGATTACCTGGTTAGTAGGGGAAGAATGCCCATGCTGACCTTTTGCTTTTGTTCTCAGATTACCTTCAGTCAACAAACCTATTGCTCTAAGTGCTGCACTGGAACAGCATCCACTGAGCTTCCTCAGCAGGTCTTTCTCCCATCCCACAGGCGTTCTGACGCCATGTCAGGCTAACACTAGCAACGAACGGGAGTAAAACAATGTTTAGATCGATCTTTAGGATGTGCCTCGTAAAGTGTTACGTGGTTTCTGTTGTTTCCATCACAGTCCCAGATACTGCCATTTCTGCAGCACAAGCTGCTATCTCCCCTTTTTCCCTTGCACCTCCTTTTTGGATGTCTGTTCCAGTGGAGCGGTCACAATTTCAGGACACTGTTCCAAGTGCATTTCTTTCTGCTGTCAGCTGTTTGCATGACTGTGATGTGAACCAGATCAGGGAATTCTTCTGTTGAAACACAGCCACTGTTTTGCCCGTGTGTCAAATTTGTTTCACCATACACCCAGAGAATTGCTGCACCCACAAGAAAGGGGCAACAGAGGTGTAGGAACATGAGAAGTGCTTCTGATGGAGAAGCTGCACCACCACTTCTATTGCTAAATTCCAACCATGGCCTAAAAAAAATCCCATTTCTGAAATAAAAAAAAGTTGGTTTTGCTGTTGCCAAAGTAAGTTTGAATTTAACATAAAAATAACAACAAGGAATGGCTCCTGTTTTCAAGGCACCCTGCAAACAGCGGGACGTGGGTGACAACAACCTGCTGTTCAGGTTCTATCTTTCAAGACTTTATAGGAACTTTTATCAGAGAAAATTCTCCTAACTAAATGGCACCTACATTTAAAATGCAGAATGTATGACAACAGAGATGCAAACTGAAGATGACAACATTTCCCCGGGATTTTTAAATAAACACTTCAGAAACAACAGCAAAAAAAAAAAAAAAAAGTCTAATGATTTGTATCACGATTTCCCCACAGCCCACCCTGTAATCCCTTACTTGGTCTGTTTTTCAGCTCAAAGGACCATCCTGTTTCTTTGTTTTCAGCTAGGTTTTTGGGCAGCTTTGTGAAAGCAACCAAAATACACGTTTCTAACTCACAATTCTACTGCAGTGCTTAAGCTGAGTGACACTGAGTTGCTCAGAAAAGCTCAGAAAAGCTCTGTAGCTTCTTGTTACAGCTCGTATGTGAAACTTTTCTGCTTCTGTCAAATATTATTTACCTACATTGTTTGTTCAAAATCATCAGTACAAATAGTGATGAAATCTCTTAAACCAGGCTTGGAGAAGACAGAATTTTAACTCTCCAAGGCTGCAACAACAAGCTGTTCTGACTGTACGGATGTTCCACCCAGGTACCGGCAGCTCTTCCTATTGACACCAGAACGCTTTGTTTCTAAGTTCCCTGAAGAAGGCATTTTAATCTCTCTCACAAGCCACAGAAATCAAGTTCTGTTTCTCATCTCAGTATAATTCCACAGCAATTGAATCTGTCAGAAACAATCAGCTTACGTAGGCTGCCATACGTACTATAAACGAAACGTGATCAGTTTCTGTACCAGGAGCAGTGATCACCCGCTGGCTCGTGGCAGCGGCTGAGGTGTGCGTACCGGTGTGCTGCTCGGCGCAGTTAGCTACTGCGTCACCTACGTAATTCAAGCAAATGGAGGAAGACAGCTGCATTACCACTTCCAACCTATATATATTTATATAAAGCTAAACGCATTCTCTCCACAAAGGAGTACTGCTGTTCGACACGTGCGGAGCGCCGCCAGTTCCCAAGCACGCCGACAGCAGCTCGCAGCTCCGGCTGTGGCGCTGCCGCCCGCTGCTGCCCGGCTGCCTTGCAGGGGTCGGGCCGCCAACGAACCCGCGCGGTCCGTTCAGCAGCTCTGCTGCTCACCGCTTTGCTCCCCGCGGCTCTGACAGCCGGCTCCCCGGCTTTAACTTCACCCCGCGCCATCTCGGGGCGCCCGGCTCGCATCGAGCGGTGGGCGCCGGGCCGGGAGAGCGGAGCGGCTCGGGACGAGACGCCGCAGCGCTCTGCGCGCCGACAGCCGGCGGCCCTCCGCGCAGCCCCGTGCGCTCCGCCCGTTTGCTCCTCCCGCCGCCCTTCGTCCCGGCGGTAAAACCTCCGCCCTGGCTCGCCACAAGCCTCGCTCCACAGACGCGCACCGGCCCGACGGCTCGGCGTCCCGCCGCCTCTCCCGCCCGGCCGAGGCGCCGCTCCGCCCGCGGACGCCGGCAGCGCTGACGCGGCCCCTCACGGCCGGCGGGCGGCGCTGCCGGGCCTCCCGCCCGCTCACGTGACGCGGGAAAGGTTTCGTAAGGACGTTTCGTCGGGCTCCGGCACGAACGGCCGGCACGAACAGCGAGTCCCAGGCTTCGCGCCCATCCCGGACGAGCAGCGCCGGCGCCGCCGGGCCGTCCCGGTGTCCGCGAACGAAGAAAGCCGGTGAGCGGGCAGAGCGCCTCGCCGGGCGGCTCCCCGACCCGCGCCCCACCGCGCCGTGCCGCCCGCTCAGCTCACGGCGCATGCGCGGCGGCGGGCACGCGCAGCACGGACCGCGGTTCACCACCCCTCACGCCGCAGCCGGGGATGACGTCACTGGGCGCGAGGGCTGCCGCGGGCCGCCTTCTTACGTCAGGCCGCTTCCGGGAGAACTGAAGGGAGGCTTAAAAGCCGCTGCGTGGCCCCGCCCAGAGCTCCTATTGCGGGCAGCGGCAGCTGTCACGTCCCGCCCGCGGCGCGGGAATGTCCGCGCAGCCCGGGACGCGCAGAGGCTCGGGCGCCGCGCCGACAGCCGGGAGCAGAAGGCTGCGGGAGGCCGCAAATCTTTCAGCCAATCAGTAGCAAAAGCTTTTCCCCGCCGCCACCAATCAAAAGTGCAGGTTTCCAAAACAAGAATGCTGAGCCAATGAAAAAGCCCGCGGTGCCGGCGCTCCGGCCAATCGCATCCCGCTGTCCTCTGGGCCGTGTTTGCGGCCTCCCAGCAGCAGGGGGCGCGCGCGGCGGCGGCGCCACCGGGGGCGGAGCGGAGGAGGCGCCGCCGCCGCCGCCGTCGTCGTCGTCGTCGTCGCCGCCGCGCGCCAGGCCGCCCGGCTCCGCCTTCCGCGGCGCTGCGCTCCCGCGGGCCCGAGCAGCAGGTAGGGCCGCGCGGCGGGACGGGCCGCTCGCGCACAGCGGGGCCCCGCGGCCGGGGCTGGGGGCGCCGGGCCTCTCCTCCTCCTGCTCCTCTCGCGGCCCGTTACGGTGCGGCTGGAGCGCTCCCGCCCCTCTCCGCGCCGCCGGCGCCGTCGTCAGCCGCTCCCGGGCCCCGGTGGGCGCCGCGCCCCGCCGCGTCCCCGGTCCCGCCCCTCCCGGCGGAGCCGGCCCGGCCCGGCCCTCCGCTCCCCTCCCCTCCCCTGCCGCGTTGGGCGGCGCCGGTCGGTTCCGCTGTTGGAGATGGCGGAGCCGCCGCTCGGCGCGAACAAAGGCGGCTGCGGGAGCCCCGGCCCGGCGGGAGGCGCTGCGGGCGGGCGCGGTTCGCGTCGGCGCTGGCGGCTCGGCGCGGCAGAGCGCGTTTTCCCTCCCGCGGCCGGGCTTCGGGAACTTCTCGGCGCCGAGTGAAGTTTTAAGGCGCCGGGCTGCGGGGGACGCTTCGTTTCTGGCCGAGCGGACCGAGGGCTCGCTGCCGTTCCTTTCCGAGCGCCCCGTCCCGGGGCGGGCTCCGCTCGGGCCGTTCGCGCGGCTCCCCGCCCGCCGAGCCGTGCAGCGCGGCACCGAGCGGCGCAGGGCGGTTCCGTGCGCTCCGTGCCGTACAAAGGGTTCATTTCGGATTCCTGTAACCCGGCGCGCGAACGCGGTGATGCGTGGCGGCAGGGTGCGCGTCCGGCTCTCGGAATGCCACGGCCGTACGGGCGCATCGAGGTGCTCGGTGGACGCGGAGCGCTGCCGGCGGCTGTGCGGCGCTCAGGGCCGGGCTGCAGCGAGCGTCTGTGATCGCTGCGGTCGGTTCCAGTAAGGAGCTGCGTCGGGGCCTTTGGTCAGCTGAAGGTCGCGAACTCCCTGCGTTAGCAGCTCGTGTCCCCAAATAACGCTGTGTGTTTTTCCTCTGTTCTCTCTGCACCTCTCAGCTGTCCGCACTGCACAGTCAGGCTCGGCCCTGCCCCGCTCCTTACCCTGCAGACCTCAGCTCTCAGCAGGGGCACCCAGGGTGAGCTGCAGGTCGGTGCTCCGCGGGGTCACCTCGGCTCTGACAGCGGCAGAACCGCGCTGGTTTTCACGATGTGTGCTCACGTGCTTCGCTGCCACTGTTGAATCGTTCTAGAGCCTTTGAAAAGTGCCACCTGAGATCTAATGGTGGTGATTGCTGGGCTCGAGCTTTTACAGCATGCTCGTCCTGTTCAGAACCCCAGCACCTGGGTTCCATCTGCAGAAAGGCTGAATCAAAACTTTCTCTGAAAGTTCTGTGTGAATTGGTTGATTAGCATTCCAAAGATCCATTTTGCTTTGCAAGATAGCCCAGCATCCGTTGTGCTCAAATCCCCTTTGCCTAAATAATTATCCCGGGTGCATCCTATGCATTGTCATGTCCCTTCCAGCTCGCCTTGAATGCCTCAGGACTGACAAAGTATAGGAACAAGAGCACTGTCTTGCCTTGCGCTGGAAGGAAAGCAGGTAACCTGCAAGAGGTGTAAGCAGCTTTGTGTGAGAGAGAAGTGTAGGTTTTCCTGTCTGCCAGAGCTGGTGCAAACTCGCTATCCTCCCTGCCTGCTGTTGTTCTGGCTGGCTGGTGTCTGTCAGAAGAGGTGATGCTGGCTGTCAGCAGTGAACTTTCCCTTTGCTTCCGCTTCTGTGAGATGCAATTGAATTGAAGCCCATGGTGAGGATAAAGTGGTATAAATTGATCTTCAACTTGTTTGATTTCAGCAGCGTTTCTTGCTGTGCCAGATTTAATAAACAGAGCTTGAATTGGTCATACAGCAACAGCTGTAGAATTACAGCTCCTAATGCAACAGTGTATTTGCCTATAGCCTTAGTTATGGATGCTTTCGTCTGTTTTTGTTCTGTTTTTAGTATCCCATATTTTTTCCCTTGCTTTAAGTTGTTGTTTTCACTGAATTGTACAGAGAAAAACAAGAGTGTAGGCTTTGCTTTTATAATAATACAAGCAATGTTTTAACTTTATATATATATATGTACACGTCCATGTTTGTTTTTAATTCTGTCTGCACAGATGAGGGAGAAAATCTGTTGCTAAATAGGTGATTTTTGTGAACTCTGAAAGTGACTAACTGAAAGTCAGGACCCCGTTATTTACGTGCTTTTATGTAACTGAGTCCAATGTGGTTCTGGTTGCACAAGGTGGTCTAAACATGAGGTGGATGAGAGAGATGCTGGTGGAGGTGGTGTCTGAGACATATAAATATATGTCTATAAATCCTCTGCAAAATCATCAAATAGTGGGGCAATAAGACTGTATGTGAAGGAGGGATAACTTCTGCCTGAATGTCTTACGGATGAAAATGAGTACATAGAGAAAAATAGAGAAGTGCTTTGAATAGTAAATGACACTGCTCGTGTTTGCTCATCATTTCGCTGGCGTTCTCTTATCTGTGGTGCCAGTTTGTAACAGTTCCATCAGCGTTGTTGCTTCAGGAGCCGGATCTGCACATCCTCCAGTGTCAACGTGTGAGTTATCGAAAGCTGTTGCCAGAGGTGATGGATAAAGGCAGTTGTTACGACATCGGACTCCTGTCACCCGAGTTGGTGGAGTGCTGAGGTTGCTTAAAATTAGTAGAGCAAAGCTGATCTTAGTGCTCGCACAGATCTCGTGGGCAGGGTACTGCCTGCGGGGTGTTTGTGCAGGGACTGAAGTGAGCTTCACTTTGTGCCGCGTTTCTGATGGCAGTGTGTGCCCAAACTGCTGCTGGGTTGGGTTCGTGGGAGAACTTCGTAGCAGCCTTGTTAGAATCCCGAAACCTGAATGTAAAGGAGTGAACAAAACGTATTGGGGTGGCGATGGATTTCCTTTTGGCATTTATGTTACGTTTCTTTTCACCAGCCATAGCATATCTTTGATGTTTCTCTGACAATAAGTCTTTTGAGTATGTATCAGAATCTCCCTGTGTAGTAATAACTTGCAGAAGAAAAGGAGATGCATAAAATCACGTGAAAAGCAGTTGCAGGAGAGAATTTGGTTATTTGCTGCCTTGGGAGTGGATTACTGAGCGTTATTCCCACGTGAAGACGTGCTGTCAGAACAGCCCATCACAGTGCTGCTGTTGGGAGCCCTGCAGCCCGCTGCTCAGTGCTGCTGCTGGGGATCCCCACGTCCTGCTGCTCAGTGCTGCTGCAGCCTGGGGGCCGTGGAGGGGCTGGGGGATGCAGGCTTTGGGGGCTTCCTTCCTGTGCTTGGCGACTAGGAAAATGAGGCAGTTCTTCGTGCTGCACGAAGGTATGTGTAGAGCAGCACTAACTGGGAGTACACTTGGAGGCTGCTGAGAAGTGCTTGCAGACATTGTTCCAAGTCAGTCAGAGAACGGAAGGTATCTGATCCAGCAGTTTTCTGCTCTCAGTTGGGAATGTGTTCAATTTAGTGAGAGGTGTTTCCTTTTGTTTTTATTCTTTTCGTTTTCCATTGTTGTGTGAAATAAATTCCTGCTTAAACTAATTTTCTTCCAAAAAATACATCTCTCAAGGTAATTTTTTTTATTCAGAGTTTTGGGGTTTTCAGAATAGGACATTTGTCTTGCTGACCTTTTGGTTAAAATGAAGTCGGTTCTTCCATAGCGGCGAGGTGCAGCGTTAGGCAGCAGCAGAACTGTGCTGCAGGCAGCCTTCTCTTGGGTGTTACACACATCTTTCTGCCTGTTTCACTCGAGTAATTGTAAGTCCATTAAATGAATGACGTGAAGAAAAAGTCACCGGTTCAGACTAGTGAGATGATGCTTGGATGTTCGGATGGCGATGTGGAATGAAAGCCATTCGTTTGTACAGGTGCAGCTGGTGGTCTCTGCCAGCTGTGATGTCTGCAGGTCTGCCCAGGCAGGCGTTGGGCTCCTGCCTGCAGGCACCCCTCGGTGCTTGGCCGGCAGCGAGAGGCTCGGGAGGTGGCTCTGACAGTAGTTTTCTAATCACCTTGTCTTTTTATTAATAAATACACTGGGCTTTTGAGGTACTGAATACTGACATAAATGAAGTACAGAGCTGTTACGGGGCCCTGCGGGAGCTCAGAGGCTCAGCTTGGTTGAGCAGTACCGCGCACCTGCTGCGCGAGCGGCTCCAGCCCTGCTGCGGCTGCATGGCGCAGAGCGGCGGGGAGGCAGAGCTGGGCTGAGGTGCGCAGCGCTGGGGCTGCGGGCGGGCATGGCTGCTCGGCAGCACTGCTAACTGCACTTCTGCTTTCCTTTTTGAGGAGGTGTGTGTCCGAAACGTGGATGTTCAGGATAACATGTCCAATGTGTCGGAAGAAAGAAGCACTAGACAACAGGACATTAAGAAAGGACTTCAGTTTATAGAGTATGGTGCTATGTTTTTTTTGTGTGTGTGTGTACGTGTCTGTGGGTACGGACGGCTCTGGGGAAGTCCCTGTAATTTAGTACTGTCAGAGGGCCCTTAGTTCTTCCGAGAGTCTCTGCTTCGTTCCCAAGCAGAGCAGATGGGGGTGGGTGAGTATTCCTCTTCAGCCTTTAGGAAACATTGGCACCGACGGTTTGGGTGCCCAGAAATCCCCCTTCTTTCTATGGCCAGCACACCTGAGACGGGCTGCTGCTGACTGCCTGGCTTTGTGCGCTGCTGCCTGGGCATTTCTGCTCTCTGGAGCTCAAGTTTAACTTGATGAAAAAGCCTCTTAGCAGTTAATTTGTGCTTGGATCAGTGCCAAGTTCTCCCCTAGAAGATCCTGACTAACTTCAGCAGATTCTGAAGTTTCACATTCCTTCGCTGTTCACATAAGGCATTGAAAAAAAACCCTGCGCTTTAAAAACGATTTAGAACCAGGTTCTTGGTTAACCTGCAAGGGAAGGGAAGGAGTTTCTGGTTTTCTTCCTGAAAGAACAGCGGTAAATGCCTCTGTTTTCTGCTGGAGAAAATCTGTTAGGTGTCACGTGAAAGAACTCTTAAAAATCCTTAAGTGTTATGTGTATGACTTAATTAACACTGGTGTGTTCTTTTGGCAGGTAATTTGTCACTTTATAGTGCTTATAGAAAGGTGGCGGTTGTCATATAGAAACTGTTTCTACGTGCTGGAGAAGAGAAAGGAAATTGTTTTTAAACAAACAGCACCGAGTTTTTAAACTCAGCATTCAAAATTGTCACACATTTTGAAGAGGAGAGCTGAGACTGGCTGTGTAGCTTTAAATGAAAATGATTCATTAGTAATAGCAAAACACTTGTTTAATTAAATCTGCTCAGCAGCACTCCTGCCTTGTTCAGTACAGGCTGAAGAACACAGCTGGGTTTAGCCTGCTGCAGCAAGCAGGGCTGCTTTTAAGTAAGAGCCAGTGTTCTCTGCTGTGACTGTCTGGTGAGCCGTGTGTTCCATAAGTACATCTTGTAATTTCTTTTTCTAGATCTACTTTGCCCTACCCAGGGACACAAGAACAATATGAGGTAATAAAATTACTTTTGCATTTCCAGAAGTGGGGGGTTTTTTTGCTTCTTTTTTTTTGTATGTTTATTCTTGCTTTCAATCATTATTTAAGGAATAATGCAGTATGAATGGTAATGTTAAAATGTCTCAGCATAGGAACTGGAGGACTACATAAACTATGCTACAGGTATTCAGATATATCATCTGAGCTCAGCAGCACAGATGAACTCTGCTGGTGTTAGGGATGAATTTGGGCATTCGCTGGGTAAAATGACATGCTCTATCTGGTAAAGTTTAGGGTAGTGCAACAAAAGTGAGATAAAGGACTTGAGTCACACATTCTTGTAACAGATTTTGGTTATGGTATGTGTTACTATTTTGTATAATTTTGGGACTTACATTTCACACATCTTTCTAGTATTTTCATCCAACAGTAAATTGTATCACTGGACTCAAGAATGCTTTACTTAAGATTGTTAATGTTCACATTTTATACTGGAAAAGTCTTTTGCTTTGCGAAAGCAGCCTTTGTGTGCTGCTGGTTTGCCAGCTGCTATAGCTGCTGTTTGCTAATGGTGCAGGGAGCACAAATACATACACCTTGGATAAGTTCCACACACAAAGCAATGACTGTGCAAGGCCTTCCCCCTCCTTTATTTGCATGTGTTGTGATGCTGAGTATTCGGGAGTGTCTTGGGGAAAAAACTCTAATGTAGACCAAAAAAAAATCATTTTTGTTCCATTCATTTACAAGTATACATTTTCTATTTAAATATGTATTTGGAAATATGGAAGATACACAACAAATACTGTTGTTCATGATGTTTTTCTTTATTACAGCTATTTATACGAGAACTTGTTAGAAATCTTTTTAATGAAGGGAATGATGTATATCGAGAAGGTGATTGGAGAGGCTCGCTGAATCACTATTCAGAAGCTATAAACATAGCAGATTATGCTAATTCTGAAGAAATCCATGTGTCTGATGATATTTTAGAGAAGCTACATGTAAACAGGATAGCATGTTTTTCAAATATGGTAAGCTTCCATTGAAACAGTATCACTTCTTGAGAATCATCCACTTACATTGTGAAGGTATGGAAAGTTTAGCAGTGAAGAGCTCTTGGTATTGCTTTGTCTCATCTTTTCACAAGTGTGGTCACCTGGATGTTTGTAGTTACCAATACTAGATAAGTAGCAGAAGAACCAGAATTATAGAATTGTGGAATGGCTTGGGTTGGAAGGGACCCCAAGGATCATCAAGTTGAAACCCCCTGCCAGGGGCCACCAACCTCCAGAATTTCGTGCCCGGAAGTTGACAGAGGAGTAGTTTAATCTGTTTCAGTTGCTGACTGCTCCTGAGTCTGCCACTTTCTCTGTGCGATAAGATGGCTCGTGAGAAAGAATTAAATTGTCTTCATCCCTCTTAATGGGTTTTATATGAGTGATAGCCCAACTTCTTAGTTGCATAGGTCAGTGGCTTAGGGCAGTTCATATGTGTGGTGTTCAGTGGCCTTGGTGGATGTTTCATAGTGTTTCAGTACCTATGTCTAATAGAGCTCAAATTCTACATTTCAACTGTAAAAATTATTCTGATTAGTTCCTTTTTTCTTTTCTCTCCCTCACAGGGACTGCATGAAAAGGTTCTAGAAGACTGTGAGATAGCATTAAGGTTAAATGAAAATAATTTTAGAGCGCTCTATCGGAAAGCAAAAGCACTGAACGAGCTGGGAAGGTATAAGACAGCTTACGATGCTGTAGCAAAATGTTCTCTTGCTGTGCCACAGGTAGGCAGATGATACATTTATGGCTATTTCTACAGATTTGATGCAGAAAATATGCACTTAGATAAAGAGCATTATTTTTTTGTTTGTTTTAAATGCAGGTTTTTATGCGTTGTTTTTTTTTTTTTATCCCCCTGTTCTTATTGCTTACTTTGAATGTGAAGACTGATAGCAGATCTCACAGGCAATAAGATCACCTGAAGAAATACATTTCTGTATGGATCAAGCACCATAAGCTGTTGCAATAAACAATAGAACCATTGAATTAACTGTTGTTTAAGATTCTCAAGACAGAGGTGTATTCTAAAGAGAAAAAGCACCCATAATTATAAAGTTTAGTATTTGTGTGTGTGACAGTGGCACTTTAGCTCTCCAGGCATGCAGCAATATAATTCTCAGCCGTGCTCAGTAAGGACCTTTAGTTGTTGTAGGCTACGTCTGTGTCAGCAGGCAGTGGGTGCTGTAGCAGAACAGGATCTGCAGACTGCAGTGATGCTGCTGACAATCTGATTTCCATGCTTTTTTTTTTTTTGAGCTCAGCAGGTGTGCTCCAGCAGCACTTCCATTTCATTTAAAACAAATCTAATTTGGCACTCTTCATACTGCAAACTAAAATGCAGTGTGTGAGGATGATTGAGGGGTTTGCCTCAGAAATGCATTCCTGCTTTGAATGAGCATGCTGATGGAATTTTCTTTTTAAATGGATAGATAACAGGGCAAAATACTGAGTTGATTTTTTTTTTTCCTTTCTCTACCTCAGAAGTAGTGTAAATGTGTGTGTCCACACCCCACATGCTTCTCTGAACTTCTCTGGTTGTGGAAAATCTTTGTTGTTTTTTATTCAAAGAAGCACTTGAGCAGGATACTGTCTGTTTTGGCTTTTTTTTTTCCCAGACCTTAAAATTATGTTGCTTGAGGATCTGCATTTTTCTGAGTGCAGCTTGCAATCCCATGTTTGTGAGAGTATAGTGTGCATTGAGATACATCCTGCACTAGAGATCTTGCAGAACAAAGACTATTTGAGATGTAAACAGTTGTCTTTGACTAGATGGTAATCCATGTACATTATGACATTTTATTTCTTTTAGGATGAAAGTGTGATTAAGCTTACTCAAGAACTAGCTCAAAAATTAGGATTAAAAATAAGGAAAGCATATGTAAGAGCAAAGGTAAGATTTGGTTTTAACTCACAAATTGTTACAGTTTTAACAAAGATGTTGAGTTTTTCCCTTGATATCAGTTTTGTAGCTAATGAAGGTGTCTTTTCATTGCAGCCGCCCTCGAATTCTGTTTCTAGTGATGTATCAACTCAGGTGAGGTTTGACACGTTGTTAAGCATAAGCAGACTTCAAACTACAGGGATTAACTGTTTCATCATTTCACCATGATTAAGTGGAAACTTGCAGTTGACATTTGATTTTGGACTTCAGGATTCTGTTGTTTTTTGTATTCAGCTTTGCAATGTACTTAGTGCAGACTAGGAGATGAGATTATCGTTCAGGTTATCTCTGTAGAATGAATATGAGCTAAAACTTTAAATCTAGTGCAGTGAATATATTTACTTTTAACATCTTGAGACAAGGATGTAGCTAATGTGATTTGTTTATTTTATATCATGGAGAGTAATGAAAGTGAAGAATGCTGGGGTGAAATACCTTTAGATTTATTTGTTTGCCAAAGTTTGACCTTCATTAGCAGTTAAACGGGTATTTGTCTTCCTTATAGCTAATGTGTCTGAGTAGCACCAATGAAGAGTTCTCCTTTATCTTAATGACTTTTTCAGATGAAATAGGCAATTTAGCTGTAAAGGAGGACTTGGGATAGAATGAGGAAACACCGGAACGGCTCACTGCTCTTTTATTTGTTGGTTGGTTACAGATTTTTAGTGGTACGGCAATTGTATTTCAGTCTGCAATGGGATGCTTTATCTTAAAAATTATTTCACCCTTAAATCCACTGGACTTCATAACTTAGAAGTTGTATTAAACCTAATTTAGAGGCTTACGTTCTCTGCCTGTAAATGTATGTTTGAAAAATATTAAAGACTCTTGTGCAAAGTACTGAGAGGAGTTTTTTTTTCTCACTTGCAGAATTCTTCTTCTGTAGAAGATATTGAGTTAGGTGAGTCTTGTGTGTGTTAGAATACTAATACTAGGAAACTAGATACGTAACATATCTAGTTTTATTTGTTACAAAATTTATTCTTAAGAAAATTTAACTTGTCATTTGAAAGATCTGTGTCAAAAGTCTGATATCTTTATCTGTGAAACTACACATTCAAGTGCTGAGCCAGTCCTCACCTTGATAGGAATGAACTGCCATTAATATAATTGTTTCACTGACCTGTTAAACTTGAAAGAATAGGGAGGGGAGAACATGCCAGAGGTTCAGTAGCATATCAAGTCTGTTTGAGCAATATATGAGCACAGAGATACGGGTACATATGATTTGGAAGACCTTTAATGTAGTTTTGCTTTAAAATTCAAGTTTCTCTATTCTCTCTCTCCTGATACTATCAGGCTAAAGGTTAGGGGAGGCGTTCTTACACCTCTGAATAAAAGTTCCACTCATTCCTGTCTTTCTGTTTCAGATTTATCTGACCAGAAGCAAGATACGGTTTCTTCTGCTTCTTCATCAGCCTTTGTTTCTGAATTGTCTAAAGTGGCATCAGTACCCATATCATCTTTATCTTCTGTTATGTCTCTTCAAGCGGAAAAAGCTGCTTTGCCTTCTGCAACGTTGGCAAACGGAGGAAATGTTTCTTTCTCTATGCCAGAAGCATGTTTAGATTGTGGAGATGGAGATATAATTATTGGTGAAGAACTTGATGAATTACTTGATTCTGTGCCTGATCCAGATGAAAGCATAATGGTAAAACTTTGTTTGCTTTCTTTTGAGTGAGATCTTGTTTTGTTTGTGAATTACTTTGTATGGTTACGTTGAGCTGTAGTTGTGTGTGGTCAGATTGATCCTCTCAGACGTGTGGGCTTGCAAATGTGGCTGTAAAGATACCAGGATGTGGCAGAGCTCCAAGGAAATCACATTGGATTTGTGTGCTGGAAGATTTGAGTGAGGTTGCTCATAGATGGAGACTGCTTTGAAAAACACTGCTACCAACACTACCTCTGTGGGAGGGATTTACTTCCAGGAAATGCCATGGAAAGCGAAGCTGGCCATTGAAGTCTGAGCTGGTGTATACTTGTTACAGCTAAGGCCTCTGTGAACCTGAGGATGTTTGGTGTGCCCACCCTGGGGCTGTAGAAAGTCAGGCTCGTGCTTACAACTTTGCAGGGCAGCAGTACTTGTGCTGCTGTCTTCTGGTGCACCAAGCAGTAGTTCTGCAGTCAGAGCTTTGTCCAGACCTGTGTGGCAGATAACCAGAAATAGGCCATTGTGAGACTAACTTTTCATATTTGTTAGAAGAGATTATTAAAAAAATTTAGGCTTTTTTGAGTTATTCTTCATTACACAGCCTTTCTAGAGTTAGAGCATACAAAGCATGCAGAGCTTCTCAAGTGACAGTCAAAGTGAAAGTTCTGATTGATGAGCAGAGATGGCTGAACTTAATAGCAAGGTTACTGACTCTGAGCTGTGTCTGTGACAGTCATTTGGAGCCCTTAATATCACACTGCTAAATGAGGATCTGGCATGTTGAATTTTTCAATTAGTTGTGATTTTTAATTCTCATGTAGCTATGGGTACAGCTGTAAAAAAGATTGATTGCAAAACTGGTTCTGTCTTGAGCTTGATTTCTTGAAATAAAAAATGCTTAGGCTTCTTACTGTAAGTTTTATGCATTTCAATTTGTTGTATCTGTTATGGAAATTTCAGTTGTAATTATTGTTAAATCACAGTAAATTTACCATAGTAATGGCAAACACAATCTTTTGGGGTAGATTGAAGCCTTGTGTAGTATAGAACCTGGGGACGAGACACTGCCCACTCTATGCAGACAGTTTGATCAGCCTCCAGCCAAGAAGGGAGCTTCTTGAGGCAGCAGTTGAGGTGTAGTGAAGGAGACTCCCAAATTCTGTCACGTCCCTATCAGAGGTGTATGGAAGGATGTGTGGTTTTCCTTCGAGGGAAGAAGGTAAATTGGTTTATACAGACAGTGATGTCACTTGGTACTGCCCCAGGATCTATTTCAGTGCTGACTCTTAACTCCTTACTGTTTGAATTATGTTCTCTTTATTTAGAAAAATCTGTGTAGGTTTCTGACTCATAAAAAATTCAAAATTTCTTCTTCAGTTCAGCTAACTGAACCTTTAAAATGTTTGATTTATAGATAATTCCTTGCATTAAAGCATTGAGATGTGATTTCTGCAGTTCTCTACAGCACTGTAGTGTACCTGTCGTTTTTCTGTAGGTTTACAAAAACTTATTGAAAACATTATTAAAAGGAAGAAAGGAAGGCTGTTGCAGATTGTATCGAGTGTTTTTTTTTTTTCCTGTGTGAACTTTTCTCTTTTTTCTTTTTTTTTTTTCATTTCTTTTTATACAGCAAACTACAGGTGCCAGGGGTCCTATCCCTGCAGGAAGTGTGGCTCCCAGCGTGCCCTTCTCTGCTTCTCTGCTGGGGACGTTGCCCGTCAGTACAGGATTTGTTCCTACTCCCTCTCTTTCAGAGATCTTTTCACAGCCTTTGGCTTCTTCACTGGAAAATTTCTGTTCGCCATTAAGCACCTTTTCAATCAGTGACCCAAAAAGAGGTAAAAAAAAAAAAAAAAAAAAAAAGGAGTATTAATATTTAACCTTATGATGTGAGTTATCCAGATGGATTCCTTGTTTAACAGATTTTTACTGCTACTCAGTAATGCTTAGCACGTGCAGAAAATGTGGTCTGTGCTCACGTTTTTAGCTGTACTGATTATCAGTGTTGGGTGTACACAGGATTTTATAAAGAAAGCTGTTGTTTACTTTGGGTCTGCATTTAAGCTCCTTCTCTTCATTTCTTTTACATTTATTGTGGAAGTTACTGGTTCTGGGTGAACAGGGATTAAGTAGGAGCCATGTTAGCTTCAGGGTATGTATCTATTGTAACAAAGCATAAACCATTTCTGATGATTTGACAAAAAACATGAAAAGACCTAAAAAGCTGGTTGGTATAACTGTGTAGTTTGAAAAGATAGCAACATTACGTGTTTGGATTCAAGCTGTAGGTGATTATATGGTGAAGTAGAAAGAAATAGGTGAATAGAAAAGAAGAAATACATTTTATCTCAAATCACCAGTGTTACAGAATGTGATCTTAAGAATGAAGCCAAATTAACAAAATAAAATTAAAAAATAGAAGAATCCTCTTAGCCCTCTTTCATATCTGTGTTTTTGATAAACAAGTTTTGCTTATCTAGCTATCCCTTTTTATCAGTGTTAGTATCTTTATGTTTCTTCAGCAAATGTCTGCAGAGCTGCTGCTACTGTTAGTCAGGTGGTTATACTGACAATGATTACTTAGTTATTTTTCAACCAAGATGTTTACAAGGAGGATTTTGTATAATTTGGAAGAAAAAAATAAAAAAGGTGTAGAACTAAATAGCAAACAGCAACAGCAAGATGTGTTGCTTGTTAAAAAACAAACCTCTGAATGCTTTTCAGGAGTTATAATTTTGTGAATAGGATGTTTTGGGGAAACTGAAGTAATTGAAACTTTATTCTTTTAGACCTTTCAAGTTCAGCTTCTAGAGATGGAACACCAACACTTAGCAGCAATAACTCTCCATTGTTTGTAAGTATCTTTGATGTTTTCTTTTCCATCAGTTCAGATCTTGATACATCAAGGGTTTAACGTAGATCTTACTGAGTGTGTGGCTTTTGTGAAATCTCTGCATCCACTTTTATGATGTGTACTTAAGTTTGTACTTGATTTTTTTCCATGCAACTTTTTTTTATGCTTTGAACAATAAATTTAATAAGCTTTTTTTTTTTTTTTTTGTGGAGAAATGAAATGAGATGGCTCAAGTAAAATGTACTTTCTTCCTACAGATAAATGGCCCTAGTAGTTTGTTTGGGTCTGAAAATTACATGGGAATTTCAGGTCAAACTAGAAATGACTTCTCAAATGTTTTTAGCAGTGCAACTGCTAATATACCTGTATCTTCAGCACTTGCGGGAAGAAACCCGTTAGAAGGCACACATGAGCTAAGACAGGCCTGCCAGTTATGTTTTGTCAAAAAAGGTAAGGGGTGCTGGGACCCGCCTGGGTTGATTTAAAAACAAAACAAAAACATATACTTAAAACACTGTGAAATAAAACAAATAAAAATACTTTTGGCTTCTAAATAGCATTCAATTCTGACTTGTTCTTAGCAGATGTAGTACGATTGTGTTATTAAGGAAATAGTAGAATGTTTCAACAGCTTTTTATCTTCTTTCTTCTCGTCTCTATCTGTTGTCCTACTAGGTTCTTGATTTCTAAAACCACCACCAGTCACCACATGCTTTCCCCAAGCTGTAGGTCAGCTATGTAAGGTCATTCACATTCTGTGTTCACTTTCCTCCCAATGCCCAGGGTACTGTGAAGAATGACACCTTTGCTCAAGACTAAAAAAACTTGCAATACCCTCTCTGATTGGCCATGGGGAATTGAACTGCAGTTCAAAGTACCTGGTAACCTTCACATCCCATCTGTTTTATTGTTTTTTTTCCAGACTAATTCTAAATCATAATCATGAGGCTTCCAAACCTTAGTAATAATTAACTCCACTGTATTGACTGAAAGGATCTTAACCTGTACTGGGCTTTAATATAACTAATCTTTTAGGCCTGAGCTGTTGCTGTTAAAAAGAGCTGTATTCTAGAAGCAATAGCTTTTATTAAGACTAATCTTAAAAAACAGACATTGTGCTTCAAGTTACAGGTGTCAATATTAAAGTACACCATAGTAATGGATCTTGTAGAGAATTGTATTGAGGTATTTCGATGATGGCTATTGCAGTTTTAAGAACTTTTTTTAGGTTTAAAATATTTTTACAAGAAAAATCTGTGAAGTGATTTGAAACATGTTAAAAGCACAGGAGCTGTAGAACACTGAAAGAAATACTTTGTGTGTTCGTTGTCTTCACTTTTTTATATTAATACATCTATTTCTTCTGCTTCTTTGTTTCTCTATCAAAGCCTTTAAGTACCTCTTGCTTATACAACCTAAAATTATATTGTTCCCTCAGTTTGTCCAGGGACAATGGGTCATGCTCTTGTTTTCATAGTTCCTTAAGTAGCAAAGAGTGAAGTTCACTGAGCGTTGCTAGTCTTCAAACTTATTCCCTGATGTCTTTCTTTAAGATGTAGTATAATCTTCACTTGAATGTCATCCTAAAAGGAGAATATAAACCTAGGCACACTTTTCCTTCCCAAATAACAAAGCTTTGGGGCTAACATTTATATTTTGGGCACATGTACTTCTTACCTATTGTTTTGAGTCTGAACATAGTAGCTGTTTCAGTATAACAAAAAATGAAGGTTAAGTGGGCCATTTTCTGATCCTTGGAGTTCACCTGCATAAACTTCTTGTAAATCACAAATTGAGTTTAAAAATAGTGTTGTGGAGAAATATACTTCGGAATTTGACCAAACGTAGTGATTTGTTGCTGTCCCATAGTACTTACAAGGTTACAATACAGTACTCCCTCCGTGCTTTTATTGCCCAAACTGGTCATTTTGTAAGTACTTAGTTTATTTCTGTTCTGCTCAACATGGCTGCTGATGACTTGTGGTTCTTCAGACTTGCTGGTGCAATTAAGGATTCCGTGCACTGTGTTTGTGTACTTTGCTTTTGGGTGTATGTGCCAATCTGTGCATGGAAATTAGGAAATTTTGCTGCAGTTTATGTGAATATAAGCCATTTTGTGATTGTTTCAGGTCCTAAATTACTGGATTACGCTTACCACCCTAATTTAGAACATAAATGTAAGAAGGATATTCTAATTGGTAGAATAAAAAATTCTGAAGATAAATCATGGAAAAAAATACGTCCAAGACCAACAAAAACACAGTATGTGGGACCATATTATATATGTAAAGGTAGGTGTGTTATAGGTAGTGAATGTTAATGTTAGTGCTCAAACTAATATCTTTTAGGTTTTTCATGGTGAAGTATTGAATTAGATTTTATATGTGTTCATGGGAGATGGGGAAGTTACAGGGTTCTGTATATTTTCAGTCATGAGGGAAGCTATATTTTGACAAATAATGTGATTATTTGGAAACATGAGCTGTACTTCTGCTCTTCATCATGAATAACTTTTGAGTGGGATATTTTTATATTCTTGCTTCATTTTACTGTATCCCCTTAAGCCATCTCCTTTTCCTTCTTTTCCTGTGAGTTGTGTATACAGTACGGATAAATGGAGACTGGCATAGAAGTAGTTCCCTTCCCCCAAAGGTTCTGGTGTGTCTCTGTTTTGGCAAGCCAGCAGAGGAGAGGGAGGACGGATCATGCTCTGTGACTACAGCAGGTCTGTCAGTGTGCACACACTGCTAATCACGAGTTAGTCTCTTTCAAGAAAAAACATGCTTTAGACTGGGAGGGACTTGCAGGACAGCATTTTCAGCTTCCTGTAGGTTTGCAAAAGAACTGGTCTGACTCACCCCTTCTTGGTGGATACTGTTGCCCTCAATGCAGTGTATTGAGTGCTGAACATGCAAAACAACAATAGCAAAGAAGTATTCTTTTGCAGTATGGACTGCTTATGATGCAAGCAGGTGTGTTAACTGGCGTGTTAATTAACAGCTGTATCTGACTCTATTTAAGCAAAGCTGCTTGGTTCTCAGCATTGTTGCTTACAATGCAGAAATATAGTCGATGGAGATGTTGAAAATTTAAAACTCAGAAAGGCTGATGCACAAATCAGTCAGGATGAGGTTCTGCTCCTATCTGCTAGACTTCACAACAGATGTTGTTTGATAAAGGTTTTAAGATGAACTTACAGTAGAAGTTGTGTAAAAGCAGCATCAAATTCAGTGTTATCATTTTAGACGTTGCTGCTGAAGAGGAATGTCGATATCCAGGGCACTGCACGTTTGCCTATTGCCAAGAGGAGATAGATGTGTGGACACTGGAGCGCAAAGGAGCTTTTAGTCGAGAAGCTCTTTTTGGAGGAAATGGGAAGATCAACTTCACCGTGTCACGACTTCTTCAAGAACATCATGGATTCTTTATGTTTCTTTGTGAGGTGCTGCTTTATCTTTAATATATAATATTAAATATCTTTAAATTATCTTTAATATATAATAAAAAGTCTAATAGGTAATATAGTTATCCTATAAGAAATGCTTTTGCTCGTGACTGACTTGTAAATTTTGAAATGTGTGTTCAGTAACAATCTGACCAGCTTAGAAGTAGAGACTAGTTGAAGTCTATGGTAAAATACTTACGGTGAGGTATACTTCTAAATATATTTAAATAAATACTTTATAATTACTTGTTTTTTTTATTCCAGAAATGTTTTGATCATAAACCCAGAATAATAAGCAAAAGGAACAAGGATAATTCATCTTCTTGTTCTCACCCTGCTATGCATGACTTCGAAGATAACAAGTATGTCTGAAATAACTATCTCTTTAAATTTCAAATTAAAAGCAAGTATTTCAGGGCATTTATGAATATTGATTTTTCATTTCTTCCTTATTGATAATTTTTTTCCTTGCTAACTGACTGCAGTGTTTTGACAGTATGGCTAAGATGAACTTTGCAAACAGGGATTGCCCCATGTAGCCAAATTGTAAGAGCTGAGTCATGATCAATGCATTCAAAACCAGTGGTATCCATCTTCCAGTGTTTGGATCCTACTTCTTTGTGAGTTTGTTAGCAGCTTGTCTGCTTGGTGAGCTGCATTGGTAAAATTATTTGTGTGGTTCTGAATTTATGTAGGATTTTATAAATATCTTCTTTCTTCAGTCTAATTTGCTTATTCTGCTTGAGTTTTAACCCAGTCAGTCAAGTACAGGCTTACTTTAATTACCTGCAACGAATTACCTGAATTAGACCATAGTTCTTAATAATTCAATTCATGCAAAGCAATGTGACAGAAGCCCCTTAAATTATTCTTTGAAAGATAAAAAGATTTCATAGCAGTATTAGTGGATTTTTTATACTACATACCCTTAAAATTTTATATGACAGAAATGGAAGTAGAAGCATTTTAATTGCTTTATTCATGCTCCACTTCCCTACGTTGAGGAAATACCACAGCTGTAAGAGTACAGCTTTTACTGGGATGCATCAACTTTTTATTTAATGATGCTTCAAAAAAAGAATAAGTTCGTGTGTGGAAATAGAATGTATACTTGAAAGTGAATGTGATACACTTTGCTGCATGGAAACCAAGGATCCAGTTGGATTGGATTCAGTAATGCTTTGTAGGAGACGAAGCTCTTGGTTTTGCAAGAGCACTGATTTGTAATGTTGCTTTACTCAGACTAGAAGCAATAATTAGGTGCTACTTCCTTCTGGAAACCACTGGTTTCAAGTAAGCGTTACAAAGGCATTTGAATAAGCTGTGATAACGGTGGGTTATTTTACATTTTTTTCCCACATTGATATAAAATGACATTAAGTCATTTTAAGACATGTCTAAAACTGACTCTTCTTCAAATAGGTGCCTTGTCCACATTTTGCGAGAAACTATGGTGAAGTATTCCAAAATTCGCCCTTTTCAAGTTCGGTGTCAACTTGACCTGTGCAGACATGAGGTACACTATGGCTGCTTACGAGAGGATAAATGCTTTTATGCTCACAGTCTGGTAGAGCTTAAAGTCTGGATAATGCAAAAAGAAACAGGTATGTTTAACAGAATGCTCATCCTGCTCTTCATTTTATTCTGCTGCAGTACCAACCTGGGGAAGGTGCATTGACTTCCAGTCTGCTGAAACCTTTCATGGCAGCACGATAGAGAAACAGCTGTGTAAATAGGGTACAAAGTGTTGATAAGGTTACTAGCGATTGAAGGTTAGAAAGGTTTTAATAGTAAAAACTGTCAGAACAGCTTATTATCATCTGATACATCTTCTTCTTGAAATGAAATCAGAAATCTCTTGTGATTATTAAATCCAAGTCAAACCAGATTTCTTCTTAATTTTAAGCATTCGCAGTGTAGAAGATCTTGATCAAATACATTCTTCATGGAGCACTGGGGAAAAAAGAAAACAAAACCTTGGTGTATTTTATTTATGCCATTGTTCCAATCTGTCCCCACATACAAGAACCTCATTTTCTCTGTAGTTAAACTTTTTGTTTAGCTTAGTGTTGATCTGGTATTCTTACGTAGTAAGCCAGACAATAAATGCTTCTAGGTGGGCACCCCGTCTCAGTAGTCTGGGTGTTTAGTCGGTTTTTCTGTTGCTCATTACACGGGATATTTAGAGTGCTTTTTTGTTTTGCTTTGTTCTTGCTGGTTTTTATTGGCTTCTTTGAAGATAACAGATTTCAATACTTTAATTTCTAGCTGATGTCTTTTGAGCTGTATGTCTCTGTATTTATTGTCCTTCCTTGGTCATAAGTTTTAAACTCTTCATAATCTTCTTGTTTTAAAATAATCGATGAACTGTTGGCAATAAATGTTTATGGCCCAGCATAGTCACTAATTTGTTCTACTTTGTTCTGTACGACTGTAGTTTAAGTAGTGCTGGATCATTGTGATGCACAGAGGAAAAAGGAAGCTTGGCAGTCCCCGTGTGGTGCAATGTCGCTGGCATTTTTTCCCCTTTCTGTCCATGGTTTATTCTTCAGTTTATCTCAATTCTTGTACCAGTGTGATAACAGAACATGTCACACAGATGTGAAGTCAGAGAGAGATAAGAGGTGACTGTTTCTGTGCAGATGTCCAGTCTGTCTCTCCTGAGCTGATCCTTTAGAGGTCTCTGTGTGAAAATAAAGCAGTTATTTTCTGTTCTTACCCGCTGCCCCTACAAAGTCCAGCATTGCAAATACTTACTCTGTAATTTCTATTTTGAAGTAAGGGTTTGGTTCTCCAGGAAACTTTTTTGCCACAGAAGGATGTGTTTTATTTTTGGAATTTTTGGAATGTGTGTTGCCCTCATACTTCCCTAAAGTTAGTTAGAGCTCTGGGTCTTGTTCCAACTCTGGTTCTCTGCTCTCAGCACAAGGCTTCTCTTCAGAGTTTAAGGTGTGGGAAGAAAACAAATCCTACCTCAGGGAAGAAGCATTTTACCAACCCTCAAATCCAAACACAGATAATAGACCCTATTTGTGGGAATTGCAGTAATAATTGTTACAGTATGTGAGAACACTGTATAGCTTCAGTATGTGAGAACACTGTATAGCTCCAGTGTGTGAGAACACTGTATAGCTCCAGTATGTACCTTAGCCAAAACAGCTGTAAGAATGGCCTTCCTGAAACAAAGCTTAATTAACAGGGCTTGCTTTTTAAAGTAGACAGAGGCAGTCTAGTTTCTGCCAGCTGGTATTGTGTTTTTTTGTGATCTATAATGAAATGCAAGTTCTCTGATGAGATTGGCAGAGGATATGTTTACAGAAGTTACATTTACACAAATATTCAGAGATGCATCTTTATGTAGTTGGACAATCTGTAATTTAGAAAACTTTCATGCTGTCTTTTTAATGTAATGTTATGTACTACATTTATATTTTGGAGGTAAGATTCTTAAGATGCATGTATGTGTATGTACTTATGTAAATAAATGTTTGGGACTTGGGTCGCACAGCAATTTGATCATGTCTGAAATTTTAGAATAGTTGTAAGTGCTCATGAGCTTTTAACTTTCCTTTAAAGGTATTTCACATGATACTATTGTTCAAGAATCAAAGAAATATTGGCAGAACATGGAAGCTAGTGCACATGGGTCACAGGTATTTTCATCTTGCCTTAAAACTATTGCTGTAGAAACTTTGATTCTTTTTTTTTGGTCTGTGTATAATGTAGTGTCTCTTTAGAAATTGCTTACTTCTCATGCTCCTTAAACACACTTTCAGTGTAGCATTCCTTATTTCACTTATGTTTAAAACGCCTGCTTTTCTTCAACACAATTCCTTTTTTGCTTTGCTTATTCTGTCATAGGTGAAACAGAAAACCTAAGTACCATTTCAAAGGCATCTGCCACAGGGCAATTATCTTTTCAATATGTTGGACTTCTGTATGTTCAGTTTATACATCATATTATCACAGCTTCTGGGTGCATATGCCTAAATCAGAAATAAGTAAAAAGTGCATTCTTTAAAAAGTGTCTAGGTTTGAAAATTTCAGGCAAAACTATTACAAGGCATATAGTGTAACTACAGCTTATGGACATGTGTTGTAAACTTATCATAGGGGATAATTCATAACTACGTGTGGATTTCTTTGCAGATACAAAATACCTTTTATTGTTGTTCTTGTTGTTTTTGCGTAAGATCCTTGGGAATCAAATGAAATATGGATCACTTAATTTGAAGATGAAGTTTGTTTGTGGTCAGTGCTGGAGGAATGGTCAAGTTAATGAGCCAGACAGAAACAAAAAATACTGCAGTGCAAAGGCAAGACACCCGTAAGTAAGACAGAGCAGCAAAACTTTTGCCTTTTGTCAGCAGTTTAACATCTCTTTTGGAAAGGTTTGTGACTTTGTTAAGGAAAGAAGTCATACAAGGAATTTTAAAAAGCACATTGAAGCATAATAGAGTTTCTACAAAAATTCAGTTAAATCCCAACTAGAAGGATGGAGGCTTTATGAATAAACATTCATTCTAGTCTTTCCTGGTACTGCTTTGATCTACACAGTGTGCCTTTTGTTATCCCAGAATCATAGAATGGCCTGAAAAGGACCACAGTGATCATCGAGTTTCAGCCCCCCTGCTGTGTGCAGGGTTGCCAACCACCAGACCAGGCTGCCCAGAGCCACATTAGTTACTATTGGTTCTTCTCATTAAACGCATCTGTTTTTATCTAGGTGGACCAAAGATCGCCGTGTGGTGCTTGTAATGTCTAACGAGAGGAAGAAGTGGATGACCATTCGTCCCCTTCCTGCAAAGAAACAAGTGCCTCTGCAATTTGATGTATGTTAACCTAAAAATAACCTTTTGTGTTAGGAAAACTGAGTAACTGTAAAATACCAGTAACTGGCCTGATTTCATCAATTCTGCAGGGGAACTGGTGGAAATATGCCAATAGTGTTTCTCCAGAGTTCAGCCTTGACCTGTGAGATTAGTCCTTTTCAGTTCCTGAAGCCTTCTCTCATCCGCAGAAGTTAATCACTTAAAAATGCGTTAACTAAATTCTAATTATTTACAGTGATTATCTTAGAAATCTTTCAAACATCTGTGTGATGTGGTAATCTGATAGAAGGTAAAAAGCAGGCCTGGTGCTTGCATCTAACAGTTTGCATTTCAAACTATGTTTATTTTATAAAACAGGCATGGTTTTATGTTTCATGTAATGTAAATGTCTGTTAGGGGAGAGAAAACTTAACTTTTAAAAAAATCTGTTATCACCATTTTTACTTTATATTCATGGAGAATATATTTTTAATTCATATTCTAGTTGTGCAATCATATTGCTTCAGGCAAGAAATGTCAGTATGATGGAAACTGCTCATTTGCTCACAGTCCTGAGGAGAGAGAGATGTGGACGTATATGAAGGAGAATAGCAGTAAGTAAAAAAAATAAAGATTAAAGCAATGCTGTAAATCTAACTGCTCTGTTCTTCGTTTCTTTTCCTCAGTAACTTTTTAATCAACTTTCCTTTGCTACCTTTTTTTTTGTAGTGGGCCTTGAAGGCACTTAATTTATTTGAATGAGCTCTGGTTGAGTGTTCGAAAATAGTATTAAATAAATATAGCTGCATTAAATATTCATGACCTGATGAATCGTATTTTAATACCAAAGTAGTTTGTATTATATTTTTAAAGTGTTAGAAGTAGCATATTGGTCCATGGAGCAAATTACCAAGTTATCTTTACTTTGTGTATCTGTTAGAAATACGTAATGCATTACTTTCCTCTATGTAGGTAGAAAGGGTCTTGGTGAGTAGCCAGAGATTCATATTGCTCTTGGTTCTTATCTCTAAACCATATAACTGTCTATACCATGTGCTTCTTTTTTGCTTCTTAAAATAGGTGGGGACTGAATTATGCTTGCAAACTCAGTCATTTATCTAGTATTCTCAGACTTTTGCCTTAATTGCTAATTACTTATTTTAGCTTCTGCTCTCATTAGTTCAAGACTTGGAGCAGTTGTATGACATATGGCTAAAAAGTCAAAAACCAGAAAAAGGAGATGATACAGCTGCTCAGGCAAATAAGGAAAATGGGAAGCAAATTCACATGCCAACTGACTATGCTGAAGTAACAGTAAGTAATCATAGGTGTAATTGTAAGATCATGCTTTCTTTTTTCCACCCCAGTCAGTAATATGCTGTTGTCCTTACTCTCCTGCTGCTCTCTTATTTCCTAGCTAACTGCTAAATGCACAGTTTAACTGAGACTATAAAGCACTTCTTCTGAATCCTCTAAAGCCAGTGGAAATCATAAACTTCAGGTGTTGTTTAAATAACTGTATCCAAGCTAAGCAACAATTTGCAGGCTGACATAAAGAAAACATTTAAAACTTATTAGGAACATGTCTGTGCTTGTAAAATTGATTCTCAATGCTTTGTTTTCAACTCGCTGTTAAACAGGTGGATTTCCACTGTTGGATGTGTGGGAAGAACTGTAATAGTGAGAAACAGTGGCAGGGTCACATTTCTTCTGAAAAGCATAAAGAGAAGGTTTTCCACACAGAAGATGATCAGAACTGCTGGCAGTATCGCTTTCCAACTGGATGTTTTAGTATTTGTGATAGGTATGTGCTTTCTAAGATTTATTTTGTAAACTGAAAAATTCCACTTCATGGTATAAATAATTAGTGCCATTGCAAGTTTTAACACATAATGTTCCAATATTTCTTTTTTTTGTACGTATCTTTTGACAAGAAGGTAAGTAATTAACAGTATTTGAACATGTGCTGTTAGAAGTTGGAGAGTGACAAGCTTCCCAGTTGTGGAACGCAGTGAATGGTTGTGTGATCTTCGTAAAGGGCCACAAGTTTAGAGCAGCAGGGAAAAAAAACTTGCTTAAAAAATACTGTTTGTAAGCTTACTTAGACATCTGCCTTCCATTACCCGTGGAACACAGGAACAGTTTCTAGTTGGACAGCGTAATTGGAGCTTTAAGGCAAGTAGAAATTTTATTGGCACAGCCTGTTGGTTTTTTTCAGCATTGGTTGTTCTTTTTGCTGCTTCCTTTAATCCTTAAATGCAGCCTGTTTACCTGACTGAGTAGATTTTGGTAAGCCTGCTGGCATTTCTTTGCACTTCTGCAATTTTATTGGAAGGCTGAAAATTTTGAAATCTGCGTTCTGGTGTTAAAAATTAATTTTGCTCATTCATAAACTTTTTCCATTTGGTCATGTAAAAGATTTTGAATGTTTTAGAGATCTTGAGAGACTGCATAGCATACAAAGCAAGTTATTTGGTGTGTGCAGGCACTGCGTGCTAGTTTATGTGCTCTGTTTAATGCATTTTTAGTAATATTCTAAATTTGATGTTCTGAATGCTAAATGTCCTGAGTCATGCTAAATACTCCAAAACCAAATTTAGTTAGCAAAACAAAATTAATGGAATTTCTAAAACAGGTTGTTCTGTAGCTTAGTGAACTAAATTTGAAGGTCGTATTATTGGTTACATTAATACTTCAAGTAAAGGAAAGATGTCAAGCATTAAATGACTCAGTAAGGTATCAGAAAGAACAGAAAGAGTCATCTCTTCTCCTCCACAAATACTTGACAGCTAGGAAAGAAGAGTATAATCAAATGTTAAACAGTTAGTCTCATCTTACTAAAAATTAAGTATTCTTCCAGTTATTTTTATTCCGTAAGAATCTCTTGCATCTGAAAAACACGACCAGGGGAAAATACCTAGATATAACAGTTGCCATCATAGTGCTACAAAAACACTGCTTAAAATCTGTCTTAACAGATATATGGCTGGTACTTGCACTGAGGGAAACAACTGTAAATTTGCCCATGGAAATGCTGAACTCCATGAGTGGGAAGAACGAAGACAAGTTTTAAGAATGAAGCTCAGCAAAGCAAGAAAAGACCACTTGATTGCTCCCAGTGATAATGACTTTGGAAAATATAGTTTTTTGTTTAAAGGTTTAGACTAATACCGAGATGATATATACATGTTACCAGCTGGAAGCATAAACCAGAAAAATTGACAATAATCAAAAGCATGTGACAGAAAAGCTGCAGGTTTTCTGCTTTTATTGGCATATATTGTTCCTCCTGAACAGCAAAATATAGTAGATTTAGGGGAATTGAGTGGACCTGTCTGTGCTGTCATGAAACAGAGCGGTGAATAAAAAAAATCTGAAGTATTATGTGCTTTCTCACCTCCTGTTGGACAGAAAGTTAGGGAATAGAAGGGGGAGAGAGGTTGTAATGTCTAGGAAGCCCCCTAGTGTCAGTCCTTCAGCTGAAAAACTTTACGGTATCAAGGTATTACAAAGCAGAGTGTTACGGGCTAAGAAAATGATGGATGAATATTCTTCAGATCTTTTAATGGAGACGATTTGTTTAAAACAAAGTTTGCTACTTATCTATATGTAGGTTGCTAAAAAAGGATTTTCTTATTAAAGATTTTAAACAAAATAACCATTTAACTACAATATATGTTGAATGGGTATTTTTTCTCTATTTGTATGTTTCAATATAATTTACTGAAAAAGGATCTTGGGAGGAAAAACGTATTCATTTTTGAAAATGAAGTAGTTAAAATTGTTTCTTGGTCTTTGCTGTTTAAATGATGATTTTGAAAGATTACACTTGTATGTCAGTATTGTGTATTATTGTATGGACTAATGTTGCCTGTAATAAAGAGAACTTTACACAAAGCTCTTCGCTGCATGTAACCTCTCTGGACCGAGGTCTTGTAAAAACAACCGATGGTTTATTTGCCTGTTGGCAAAAGCTTGAGCACCCGTCGCTAAGGTAGAGGTTAGTTTTTGTGTTTTGGCTTCTGTTCACCATTTGCTCCATCATCACTGCCACCTTGGACTCATCACAGCACTGACCTCACAGGAAGGGCCGGGTGCCTGCAGGGCGCCAGGAGCGATGCTGTGTGGGCTGCAGGCACCGCAGCCCGGCCCCCCCCCACCGTCCTGTTTATCCTGAGCTCCTGTTTATTTCATTTGGCTTCTTGCAGATCCTACAGCAGCTTTTTTGTGCTGATTCAGTTCTTAGTTTAAGCAAGCTCCTTCCAGTCACTCACTAGAAATGGCTAAATTGTTTGCCTTTTTTTTCCCCCTTCTCCCTCCTCTCAGACACTTTCAGTCGCCCTTCTTGGCGTAAGTGATTAGAAGAGCTTTAAGAATGACTTCGGGAGCCTCGCTGGCTGCGTGCTGTGTCCGCGGTGGGGCCGAAGGCCGGCGGGGCGGGCGCTGCTCGGTGCCTGCGATCAACGCGCGGAGCTCTCCGGGCGCTTGGCCGTGTGAAAAGCCTGCCCGCACCGCGCGCCTCTGCGTCGCTCTCCTGCTTCTCGCTCTCGCCGCTCGATGTAGGCGCTCTGTAAACGACTGGAGGTCGTTCCAGACGCCACCGGACGCGAATCCCTCCTTCGGCCCAGCGGCGCGAAGCTCTGACCGCCGCGCGGGGATCGCAGCGCGCAGCAGCCGAGCGCTCCTCCTCAGGGCCGCTCCCGGCTTCCCCTGCGCCTGCCGGGCTCGGCGCTGCGTGGCGGCGCTGGGTTGGCGGACGGCGGGCCCGCCCCGGGCGGCTGACGGGCGGGCGGCAGGGAGACGTGTGCGAGCGGGAGCGGCCCGGTGTCCCGCGGCCCTCCCCGCCGCGCCCAGCGGCGATGTCGTTATGCGGCGGCCCCGGGCCCGGCCCCGCGGCTGCTCCGCGGCTGCGGCCTCGCGCCGCCCGGATGGCGCGGCGACCCGAGCTGCTGTGCGGAGCCGCCATCGTGCTGGGCTGCGCCTTCCTCGTCGCCCTCAAAGTCACCTGCAGGTAACGGCGGGGGAGCGGCGGGACCGAGCCGCGGGGACCCGGGGCCGGCGGGCGGAACGGGGCGGCGCGGTCCGGAGCGGGGCGCCCTCCCGAGCGCGGCCCGGAGCGCTGCTCTAGCCGCTCTAGCCGCGCGCCCGCCCCGCTCTATGGCCGGGCGCCGCGAGGCCGCCGTCCCCGTGACGATCGCGGGGTGCGGAGCCGGCCGGGCCACGGAGCCGCGCGGGCGGGGCGGAGGAGACGGCGGTCCGAAGCCGCGGGCCTTCACCGGCCGTGCCGGGCAGCGGCTTCTTCCTCCCTTCCGAGCGGCGCTGCGCTGCCGAGGCGTCGGGCGCCGCCCGCGTTGGCCGAACGGACGGGCCGAGGGCAGCGGCTGCCGCGGGGCTCTGCGGCCCGGGGCGGAGTCCGGCTGCCGCGGTGGAAGCTCGGCTGGAGGCGAGCTCCGTTCGCCGCGGGCCGCGCCGCTCTCGCACAGAACATCGGCGCGACGGGGCCGAGGGTTTCCCTGCCCGGCGTTCCGCTGAGGGCGGCTGTTGGCAGCGGCGGAGCGGCGAGCTGCTGCTGCTTTGTTACCCGGCGGCTCCGATCCCGGCTGTTGCGGCTGTTTCTCCTACGTGAGGGCGGCCGTGCGGTTTCTCAGTCGTTCCTCTCGCGGCATGTCTTCTGTTGACCCGTTTTCTTGCAGTTTAGAGCCAATCTCGTGTCCTGTTTTTCGGCCTTACTATTAGGCACCGTCTGTCTGTCTGTCTGCCCGCCCGCCCAACCCCGGCACCAGCCGCCCGCCCTCAGCCTGCCGCGGGATGGGCCGGCTGTGCTGGCAGGGCTGCCGGTGGGGGAGGCAGAAGTCTGTAACACACAGCGCTTTGGGCAGCCCGTGTGAGAGCACGTCCTTTTGTGGGTGCTGGAGTCAGTGAGTTGCGAAGATGAGGAGCCGGTCCGTATGTCAAATGCTCTGTGGTGATAACTGTTAGGTATGAATGATGAACTCCCACAACTTCCAGAAAGTGCTGGAAGTGCCGCGTTCTGGATCGTTGGAGTGCTGGTGTGACGGAAAGCAGTTTCCTGAGTACTCAGTCTGTGCTCTTGGTGCTGCTGGTCAAAGTCGTTTCTCTTAAGAGACTCAATCTGTTGCCATCCCGTCTTGGATAGTCTCCAAATCAAGACCCCGTTTCTTGGCACCTTCTGAAAGGAAACATGCCCTGGGCGAGGTTTGTGGTCCCAGCTCTGATCAGTGATGTTGGTAAAATGAACTGGTACGCATTCACCTGGTGGTAAATGTCACAGCAAAACAGTTAGCTTTTCATAGCAGAGTATAAAATAATAGAAGTGTGGAACACTTTACAGCAATAGATAAGGCACAATAATGGTCTCTGTTCATATAAGCATCACAAAGCTGTATGACCAGCGTCTCTTCTCTTATCAGGGTGTGTTACCTAAAGTACAGGTGTTAAAAGAGGATGAGGCCAGGGAAGGAATCCAAAGAAATCACTCTTCCTGCTAATTCTGTGCTCTGCAGCACCCAGCAAGAAGAGTGTGGGCTAACATACCCATGAAGGTCGTGCATGTTACGGCAGCGTGACTTTCTGAAACTTGTTTATAAGGGTGATCTTTAGATTTTCATGGTATTTCTTGAAACTAACTCTGATAATTTGTGTCAGTTCTTCCAGTTTTGTCACTGTATGACATTCACTAGCCCTAATGTAAGGCTTTGGGCATGCTTCTTTACTTACTGCATGGTCTCACTGAGCCCTCTTAATTTCCTTCCCACAGCCGAGCAAAAGATGTAACAATGCCAGCAAAGCTTCCAGTGAATTTTTTCTCCACAAGATCTCCTGTCGTCGATCTTTTTCGGGGACAGTTAGACTATGCAGATCACCTTCGTCAGGACTCAGAGATCGCGCTGTATTTCTTCTACGCGCCGTGGTGTGGCCAGTCGGTTGCAGTGAGAGAAGAAATAGAACACGTGGCCAGCAGATTGTCAGACCAGGTAACTAGACACGATAGGAGTCTTACATGTGATCTGATAGATCTTTAGTCTCCAAAGAGGGGCTAATTCCTGTCATCCCGTGGGAACTGGAAAGACCTGCATGTCTGTACCATACAGTAATTCAGCCAGTCGTCTTTAATTTGATGTACACAGCACTAGAATGAATGGAGCAAAGCTGTGATGCCTGCTCATCTGTGTGTTATTTCTGCTCCAGGATGGGGAGCTCTGCAGATCCCATCTGGTAGACTGTTTCTGGATTTATTGCTGTGCCTTCAGGTAGAAACTACAGGGCTTTGCCTCCAGTCCCAGGATTTAGATTAGGAACCTTAAAAACCAGAAAGAAAAGTCACCATAAAATATTGCAGTGCAAAGAAATGATAACAAAAATATTTAAAACAAAAAAAGGGAGGATGGGGGAGGAAGGAAAGAAACTGATAGAATTAAGAGCAGCAGGTATGAAATACTGCTTTGAAAAGGTGCTGAAAATAACAGGTGGAATGCATTGGGGATGAAAAGCAAACTAGATAAAGAAAGTTACAGTAATGTACTTTGCTGTTAGCTGTGAAGTTTTATCTGCTTTGCAGGTGCTGTTTGTTGCTATTAATTGCTGGTGGAACCAGGGGAAATGTAGGAAGCAGAAGCATTTCTTTTATTTTCCTGTCATACACTTATACCACCGCAGGTAAGGCCTTCATATTGAGAGTCTGTTCTTCTTGTTGGCACTTTGCAAAGCAGAAGTATTGTATGTGAGTTGCTCCAGAAGTAATGCCTCCTACTTATTTCCACGGAAACTATGGCAGTTACAAAGAGCACAACAGTGCTGTTTGATAGAGTAAATTCTTGGCTACAAAAGTCTTTCAACATCTGCCTCTAACATCATCAGCCAACATAATAAAAGAAGGAAATATTATTTTTGGAGCAGCCTTCATAAAAAACGTTGTGTTTTCAAAGTTCCTTGTCTACAGTTAAAAGAAACAGCTGAAAAGGTGGGGATTCTGGGTGAAGCTCACAGTGGGTGCTCCTGGGCTACTGAGAAGGGCTGTACCTGTCTGTTAAATGTTGTGCTGCTCAAGTTTTCATCCTGAAGGAAAATTGGTGTTGCACGTGCATCTCCCGGAAGCTCTCTCTCCAATGAAATGTGAATTATTCAGATTTATGTTTTTATTTAGTTTCCTCTTTGCTCTGTAGATGGATTCTATTCACTGGTCCCAATTTTTGGCAGCAGTCATGTTTAGGAATGGAATTTAGACACACGTTGCAGTGGAGCTGTGCAGTGAAGACATTCTTCTGAATTTGAGTTGTACACTCCTTTCTTATGCCCTACATGTTTGAGTAACATTGTGTAGTGTTCTACAACCTCACTTTTGTTTTTTTAGTATTTTTATGTATGCGTTCTTTTTGTGTGGAGCAGAAAGTAATGCTTTTCCAGTACTGGGTACAGCAGAGCTAGATGCAGTGTAGTTTCTCAGTGTCATTTTTGCAGCCCTCCCATTACAGAGGCAGACTGTACTTAGTTTGGGGATTTGTGCTGAGGATGAACAATCCTAATCCTGTCAGCTGAACTTTGAATGGTACTGGAAGAATTCAAACTGTAATAAAAGCAAACAAAGTAAAAAACCCAACAAATACATTTGTGCAGAATCTTACTTGGACATGCATTAAGTTAGAATTACTTTATTTTGAAATAACAACACATTAGATGAGTACACTTGGGTATTGTCAATACCTGATTGCTGTATCTTCAAACAGAGTTGCAACAAAGTGAGATGTAGATTCATGTTGATAAACTTATGAAGCCCTCAGAAGGCAATAACACCCCTCATGCCTGAGATATTAAACTCCTGGGTGTTGTACAGTGCACGTGAGAGGAAGCAATATGAGTTGCTATTAAGGCAAAGACTT